TTATCTCCTATTTGAATTATTTTTGTTTATTACTTTGAAGCTGCTTTGAAACAATCAATATTATATGAAGCGCTATATAAATGCAGGCGACTTTACTTGTCACTCACAGAAAATCATCCTCTCTGCAGCTCTCAAATCTTATTCTCCATTCCATATATTTGACACATATTTGTTATCAGCATATACAGCTTGTGCTCTTCTGCAGCACAGCACATTCAGATGCACTTTAATAACAGGGCTGTCAGTAAGACCATGCAAAGAAAAATGGCCACTATTAAAGCAAAGTGAATGTTAAAAAATACCCACTTAATTTTACACTTTAAGGATAAATTTTACTGCAATCACTAAATGAAAGTATTCACTGTTCACTTGGAAGCAGTAGAACTGGCTGTAACGTCCTTTTTAATGGGGTCTGTTATCTCCTTTTGTTGCAGTCTAAATGATGGAAGTGGACGGCTCTGTGTCCGTACAGCCCACCTCAGCAGTCCTCTGAGGCCCACGACACACCTCCACAACTTTTAATCTCTCTCTCCTGCTCTCTTTTTGTCCAGCGCCTAATTTCTTTTCTTTTTACTGCAAGCATTCTTTGTGGTGGGCGATATGATCAAAATTTTACCCACAATCTTTATAAGTAATTTAGCCCACTATATCCCACAGTATATATTACCATGTAGTTTTTTTTTTTGCTAGTAATGCACACACAGGTGTACTTTATTGTCTAATAATTCAACAGACCAGAGTCAGTTATTCCGATTATGCTAGTTACCACACCTCAAGACATTGTTCAGATGATGTAGGGCTGCACGATTAATCGAATGCGATTGTCATGCGCATCTTGTCAGTAAAGCCGGTTCTGTGATTAGTAGTAAATCTCCATCACCTGCTTTCAGATGGAGCAGCATTTACTACACAGAGCCGTAGTTCACTGACAAGCTACGCAAAGTCGCGTTCATAATCGCAGACAATTTAATCGTGCGATTATGAAATCGTTCTGCGATTATGAAAGCTGTTTGCGTAGCTTGTCGGTGAACTACGGCTCTGTGTAGTAAATGTTGCTCCATCTGAAAGCAGGTGAAAATACCACATTTAAAGGGTTAGTTCACCCAAAAATGAAAATTAGGCTGCGTTTTACTCACCCCCGAGGCATCCTAGATGTATATGACTTTCTTCTTTCAGACGAATCCAGTCGGAGTTATATAAAAAATTGTCTTTGATCTTTCAAGCTCTATCATTGCACTCAGCGGATGTTGCATTGCTTCTGTCCAAAAGACGTGAAATAAAAAGCACCCTTCCATAAAAAAAGTCTCACACACGGCTCCGGGGGTGAACAAAGGCCTCCTGTAGCGAATCGATGCGTTTTTTGTAAGAAAAAAATCCATATTCAAAACGTAATAATCACTTTAATGTAGCTCGCCAACAGTTGTACACAGAAGCAGTTCCGGGAGCATGACGTATGAGGTCAGCGTTGCGCATGCGCCGGTGGGTCTCGTGAAAACCAACGTTTGTTTACAGGATCAAAGGAAGCAAAGTTTCCTTACTTTAGCAAAGGAAAACCAGTCTCCTCTTGGCTTATATCGAAATCCTCCGACATTCTTGTTTACAAATCCTCGTTTTGAACTTCTAATTCTTGACCATTGTTTTGTTTTGATCTCTCCGCTGCGTTTCCGCGTGCGTCACTTCTGAGCGGCGCATGCGCAAAGCCGACGTCCTACGTCATTCCCCGGAACTGCTTCCGTTTACAACAGTGAGCGCAAGCTAGATTCAAGTGATTATTACATTTTGAATATGGATATTTTTCTTACAAAAACGCATCGATTTGCTACAGAAGGCCTTTGTTCACCCCCCCGGAGCCGTGTGAGACACTTTTTTTTTATGGATGGGCGATTTGTATGTAAGTTCTTTTGGACTGAAGGAATGCAACTCCCGCTGAGTGCCATTAAACACCTTGAAAGATCAAAGACAATTTTTAATATAACGCCGACTGGATTCGTCTGAAAGAAGAAAGTCATATACACCTAGAATGCCTTGGGGGTGAGTAAATGCAGCCTAATTTTCATTTTTGTGTGAACTAACCCTTTAATAACATGTTTTTACTCCAAACTCACTTCATAACGTCAGTCGAGTGTTTGAAATAAATCCTTCTGAGATGATGTGGCTTCTTGCACAGAATAAGGCACACATCATATTTCATAGTATTCTAAACAGTGATAAAGGCTATGTCGATTAGCATTGCATTATTATATACTTTATTATAATAAACATTATAATAAGACGAACTCAGATAAACCATATATTGTCATAGTCGTGTGTTTATTAGTCACGTTGAATTAATGAAAGCAGTTAAATCTTCTATCTATTCAGCTGCGGCGATAGGAATTTCCTGGGTTTCTTCTGCAGGGCGTATTTGGAGTTTCAGCGCGAGAGCGCCCTCTGGCCTTCGGATGGAGATTTACTACTGATCACAGAACCGTGCTTCACTGAAAGATATGCATGACAATCACAGCTTCTGCCTAATTGTGATTTATCGCCTTTGCGATTTAATTTCGATTAATCGTGCAGCCCTAAGATGATGTATTTCAAGACATTTGTCAGGTTTTTGTGCGTAAAATGCTCTTGCGTGTAGGACTAATATTTTACGTATCTCATCTCAAGCCTCTGTTGCTAATTCCAAAATGTCATTTTATAACCAGTAACGGAGGCTTGAGCCATTGATAATGCAATTATTAATGCAGCCTAAAGCAGTTATTAGAAAGAGAGATTATCTTTTTGGATAATGCAATGAACATTCATGAACCTTCATGAATTTGCTCAACAGGAATGCTAAAATAGTAAATTATGTTACATTTGTTCATTACAACATTTATCCATTTGGAAGAGGCTTTTATTTGTTACATTGCATTGCATCTGAGCTGAACATCTTTTCACGTCATGCATTCCCTGGAAATCGAACCCATGACTTTGCTCTACAGGAATGCTAAAACAGTAAATTACGTTACATTACGGTACATTTTATGCATTTGGAAGAGGCTTTTATCCAAAGCCACTTATATTGCATCTCTACTGTACATCTTTTCATTTCAAGCATTCCCTGAGAATCAAACCCATGACCTTGGTGTTGCAAGCGCCATGCTCTACAGTAATGCTGAAGCAGTAGAGATTCTCTTTACAATTCTCATTCTCTCCGAATGGAAGACAGCGAGCACCAGGACTCTGTGTGAGTGTGTATAAAAATGTGGGACGTTATGCGTATAGCAGAAATAGAGTGGAAGACGCCACAAATTAGTGCGTAACGCTTGGCCGGCCATTCATCCTTTCTCCTCCCAGACAAATGCCCTGCGACTGTAATTACAAAGAACAGTTTCGCCAGCTTTATTAGAGTTTAGTGCCTCGTTGGGTGGCAAAGTGTTTTTCCCTTTTTTTTTTGTTGTTATCCTGATGGCCAAATGTATCTCCCGTGTAAACATAGCAAATAAATAATTTTATAGCATTCATATCGGAGATGGTCTGACATCCAGAGCAGCTGTGCTTCATCGAGAAAGGCTAAATGTTTGATTAAAGCGTGTTTCTTAAGAATCTCTTAGCTGACATTCATCTGGTGTGCGATGTACTTGCACAAGCAGCACATCGTTCTGTCATTCAGAAAAAGTCATCCCTCGCTGTAAAGTCTGTTTCTTACACTTGTGGGTGGGATGTAAGGAGACCATGGTGTGCTGAAGCGGCTTGTGATGTCATTTAAGTTAGTTTAAAGAGTCTGGCTTTCCTTTAGGGAGAGAAGAGTGGTTGTAAAAAGAGGGAGAGTAAGGAAGTGAACATAAAATTCATTATTCATCTGGCTGCGAGGAAAGCTGTTCCATAATTCATCCCGTTTCAGCAGCGGAATTAGAGAGATATGTTCAGCTCAAAGGCTGTCTGGGCTTCAAACAGGAGTTAGGCCCAGCTTCTCAATTGTAATCTCTGTCGTGGCCTCACCTGTCACTCAGATGTTTTATGTAAAGAGGATGCAACTTGAGATAATAATCCAGTGATTTTATTGCTTTAAAAAGATACATAAAAGTTATTTTTATTTCTTCATTTTATTTGAAACTTGATGTTTATATTATATA